GATCCTAATTCTTCATTAAAATATTCTTATTCCTTTCATATAAGCCCTAACTATTTTTCGATTATCGAAAAATAGCTTAAAAGCCTATAGATTTTGAGATTCGATTTGAATTTCCAATTTTTTTCCCCATCTGTTTTTATATAATAACATATCTCAACAACAACACAAATTTATTAGCTCATTTGTATAATCATACTAGCTCGAACAGCTTAATAAACAGTTGAATATCTAGTGTAAGTAATTTTATATTTCATTCAATATTTAAATAAATTATCTGTAGAAAGAGTCTTCCTTGGTTTGCCGATGGGACCCCGCGATAGGAGGCGAACAAAGCTGCATTTTTCTTGAACGAAAAACATACGATAGTTGGTTAAAACAACCGAATTGTTAAAAATTTACAAACTTAAATAAAAAAGGAATATTTGTTGTAATATGCTGTTCGTGTTATATTTCCTCCAGCATTAAAATAATATTAGAAATATTAAAAGTTTTGATTCGTCGAAAAAAATGCTTGTCAAAATAAATAATATACGATTGTTTGCTTAAAAACACACACCTGAATTATTGAAGAACACTTCTTGATCCATCTTTGACTACATGGAAACTTTTTTTTATTTGTTGTTGGTCTATAAATTGTCCTAAAGCGATTTTTTCTGTGCATTTGAGAGCCGCATTTGCGAGTAGTTTTGCTTTGATATCAAGCGGAATCCCTGTGTTGTGTACACGGACCTACCTACCTACGGACGGAAGTGACGTCAGCCAAGCCATGAAAAATCAACTCGATGGTTTACCATTTTTCCTTAAGGATGGTGGGTACAGTTGTCAGCGCGCACTTTTACTGCGCACATTACGTAATCCACAGGAACTCCAATGTTTTCAAAAATATCAACAACAACAAAACGAAATAAATGCGTGATCATTGTTGTCATCATTTTTTTTTTCAATAGCAACTTCTTCATGTGTGTCTATATGGGATAGTTAAATAGTACTGTAAAAGTAAAAGTCAAAGTTGTGAAAAGGAGAAAACGACGACTAGATGGTAGATTTGTCAAAAATAGAGTACCGGTGAAGCGACAAAAACTAGACGAAAAAGATCAAGAGAGAAAAACTTCGAAACAAACACAAAATATTATTGAAGGAGAGCGAATTATTGAGTTAGATTACCTGATGGAGCAGTTAAAAAGTGGGTGTAGTGAATGTAAAGAGGCACTTAAACTTCATGAATTGATCGACGAAAAAAAGTTTGGACTCTTGGTAGTTTGTTTTACATTCAATGCGAATTCGGAGTTTTAAACTGAAATTTCACCTACTATAAACCACTTAGTTTCTTCTATGAAAATCTTGGAGCTTTGTTCAATTCTCAGTTATCCCTACAAGGTTTTCTTATTGCATTCTCTAGGACATTTAGTGACCGTATTTTTGATCCAGTAGTTCTTGCAGTAGTCCGCCATGTTTACCATCCCATAATGCAATGCTCAACCACGTCTCTCAGGGGAGGGGTGGAGTAAATTTGTAACCATCGCTGGAAAAAAGCTTGAAATCTGATATTCAAAAAAATATTATGACTACAAAAAACGCATGGCGACCCCAGTTTTTTATTTTCTTGGTATGTTTTGTAAACACTTAAGATAATTTTGATGGGCTATTTCAAAGCTAAAAATAGTTTTGAGTGGTTTCTTTTTTGATTTTGTGTTTTTGTCCAAAATTGAAATTTCACCTACTTTTTGCCCAAAAGCAGATAAAAAATGTACTTTCATCTTTGCAACTTCAAATCTTTTTATTAATATGAAAAATATTTATGTTTAAGATTATTTTAGGCAAAATTTCGATGTACTTAAGCCAAACACAAGGGATATGTGATTTTTTGAAGTGCTTCGAAATGCGCTTACGTCATCGGGTCTTTAAATGACAATTATATCGCTTGGATGCGTGGGGACCCCCAAATTTTTTCACGTTTTTAGATAGCCCCTTGGGTACTCTAAATAACTGACACAGTTTCATTCGAATAAAAATGGGTCGCGAACTGTACCCACCATCCTTAAGTATGGTGCTCCGCTCGCGCGGGCCGAAGGAGCTCCGCTATTGCATGAAATTTTGGCTATACGTTAATTTCGCGATTTTACAAGGGAAAAAATGCCATTCTAAGTCACTTTAATTTCGCTATTTCATAAAGTGAGTTTTTCATTACCTGTTTTAATTCAAACGCAGTTTTCTTGAACAAAACGACTTTATTAAGTATTAGTAAATAACAATTAACATGTTTATGTTCGCGTGTTTTTACCGTAAAAATGGTGAACTTCCACGTATTCTCACGGCTAAACGAAGTTGGGGACCCCCATTTTTTATTTGCTCATTTTACTTATTTTACTAAGTGCAAAACTCAAAAATAATCTCACGATGGGATCTTTTGCCGATGAACGTCCTTAAAAAAAGATGATGTGCATGTACTGATAATATTTGTCAAAATTTTTGTAGGGCACAGCAGCAGGAGCAAAAAGAGATGCAGTTAAGGTTGCAACAGGAGTATGATCCTGGAAATCCAAACTGGCAATTTTTACAAATGATCAGGTGTGTGTAATTTTCTGCTTTTAAAAATCTGGGGGRAAACGATTTGCGATTCCAATCAATCTATTTGATTTCGCCTGTCTGGACTGAAATAAACCGAGGAGAAGTTGTTCCTTTTCGTTTCGTTTCCTGGTATTGAAACAGGAAGACTGGTTTTATCACTTTCAACTATCAAAGGATTTTCTTAATATTGCTTGCAGTGAATACCGAGATGGATTGAATATTAAAGCTATGACAATGAACGAACCTGTAAGTATATTGAATCTCACTAGAACGACTTCACGTATTCAATCTTTAAAGTGCACCTAACCCTTTTTACAATACTTTCAGGATTGATTCTTCATAAAGTGAATAGTTGAATGGTGAAATATTTCTTCATTTGAATGTTGCGTCTTTAAAGCCCCGTTTACACTGGCGATTTTTGCTGCGATTTTTGTTACAAGTTTTAAACTAAAATATATAAAACTTAGATTTAAATTTTTTTAAATTTAAAAAAACTACATAGCTATTTAAATCCCTCTTCTGGCCAAACATCTGTTTAATTTTCGTGCTCGCTGTCTGTCTCTAACATTCAATAATAAACAATTATTAGATGATATCCGCAATCATAAATGTCGAGGCTGAGGCCAATAACCTTCCGGATATCATCAAAACCGAATTCAATAAATGTTTTAATATATATTGTTCAAATAGACTCACTGATGATACAAAGATAGAAATTTTATAATAATTTTTATTTTAAAACAAGTTTCAAAATAATGCATTAAAAAAACTACAGATAACCGTCATCCGCTCACCTTTGCAGGCTCGTTTTTGCGGATAATAGGACGTTTGCATGATGGCGTCATTTGACTCCCACTACCATAATGCTTCGCGAATTTTCTTATTTAGATTTGTATTCCCTCATGAGAATAGTAAGACATTTGGTGCTAATTAACTGAACAAAAGAAAGTGTGCGAGGGAGTCTGGTAGTAGAGGTCAATGACGCCATCATGCAAACGTCCTATTGCCTACAGATAACTTTCGACCGCTGAAAAATCGCTGGTGCATGCTGATAGCTAGAATTATCCCTAGGTTCTCGACCAATTAGAATTCAAATAGCGAGTACAATGCACAATGCACAATGAACGCATTTGCAATGCTCTTATTGGGGTAAGAAGGAATCCACCCTCGGGTACGTAAGCTTTATTTGTGTTGTAACAGTGGTAATCCCGGTGACAACTGTAGAATTGTCTCAGTGCCTCGATTAAAGGCCTGATAGATCTCGTGCGGAGTGGATCAATCGCATCCACTGCATTCTAAAATTCGGGTGAATTTCCAATAATCAAATTCTCCCATTCCATATCATTGAGCCATCTGATTTGATTATGGAAGTACTCAGCGCAGAGCTCAGGTATGACTTTGTGAATGATTTGGACAACAGACGTTGGATCGATTATATCAAACCATAGTGCCAAGGTGTCAACATGGTAATACGTAATCCTTCACCACATGAGCACTTGCAGGGCTTCCTCGACGTGTTGTGCATATTTGCATAGATTCCCCTTTTTTTCAAATACCCTTCCTACAAGTAGTTTTTGTGAGCTTACTATTCATGCTGTCGGATTCATGGTTTTTACATATCAATTTCTGAATAGCCCATAATTTTGAAATAAAGTTCCCATTACAGTGGCGGATCTAGGGGTGGGTTTTGGGGGTTGCAACCCCCCTATGAGAGCCATCGTGATTT